TGTCATTCCGAGGCGGCTCCAGGTTCCAGCCCGGCCTGGCCCTGAGCCCGCCCCTCCGGGTGTGCCGGAGGCCAGGCTGCTCTGGGGCTCCCGGTGTCTGCTGCGTTCGTTTCGTTTCTCCAGGCGCCACAGCACCGATTCTGGAAGCTGGACTCTCGGCTGGGAGGTTGACAGGAAAAGTCTATCTTCAACAGGGCTGGTTCACTGGCGACAAAAATGTCCCCTACAGTGTCACACGGAGCGACAGAGGTGTTCCGCTTAGGCCTGCGGTGGATGTTGGGAACTCATCTTGGGAATAACCCTCAGAGCAGTTGGTCTGAAAAATGGCAAGAATGAAGTAAAACTCAACGTCGTCTTTCCCTGTCAACATTCGGAAGCAGGTTTGGCCAGAAAGCCAGTGGGCCGCGACGCATCGGATTAGGAAGGCGGCGGAGGGGCGCGGTCCGCAGGCTCCGCCTGCGGGGTCCGGGGTGTGTTTGCGTGTTGCGGGGCGCCCCGGCCCGCGCCTGCGCAGTGTCAGTCGCCGGGGGCCGCGGTTTGACGCCCGCTCTCACGGCGCCGTCTTTTCTTCCCAACGGAAAATTCTGTCTGAACTTGGGAACTCGGTCAGCGGGGGCCTAAAGAGCCTCCCTCCTTCTCTCGCACCAGGGTCTGCAGCCCCTGTGGTCTCCCTGTGCGTCAGAGGCCTGGGGCTGAGCGACCCGTCACTGCTGACTCCCCTTGAGGGCCCCCGGCCTCTGACCCCTTCTCCCCTCGAGTCTCCTTCACATGTCGGCGGCCGAAACCACAACTGCCTCTTCCCCTTTAACGAGCACGTGCTCGCGAGTCAAACCTGAGTTTTGAGTCCCCTCCGCTCCGGCGCCTCGGGGGCTGGCGGTGCCCCGTCCCTCGGTCCTCAGCCAGCGCTGCTTGGTGTGGGCAGCTGGTGCCTCTTTCTACAAGCCCAGGCCTCCCCTCTGAACAATTGGCTGCTGCCAGCACGCTGGCCGGACAGAGGTGGGCCACCCGCAGGGAGCGACCTGAGCAGGTCACGCTAATGCCCCACAGCTCGCCGCTGTCCACATCTAACTCCCTAAATCAGGGCTGTGGACGTGTCCTCTGCCCGTTTTGCGTGAAATGCGAATGCCTGTGACCTGGCCATCTCCAGGAGCGTCCCCAAATAGGAAACCTCAGTCTGGGAGGGGGGCTGGCCCTGGGTCGGTGGCTCTGTGGGAGAAGCACCGGGTGGGGGGCAGATCTTCCTGGCCCGGTGCCATCCAGGCTCGTGTACATTCCCCAGCACACCTCCCAGGCCCTGCTCCCCGCCGAGCACGGACACTGCTGGCCGTGACTGTGGCGCTATGTCCCATGATGGCAGCGGCAACAGCATTAACAGCCTTGGAAGACCAAGGGGACCCTCCTGAAGAGCAGCCCGTAAGGCCTGGCACGAAATCGGCTGCCTGCTCTCCTCCGTGACCCGTTCTGGACCGCGCGCTTCCCTCTGCTGGCACGCGGCTCTCGGAGGACTGAGCTGTGGTCGTGGCACGGCCGTCATCAGAGCCCGTGCCAGCGGCCCCGAGCTGGTCACCGCCAGTGCCAGCGCGAGCACCGATGTCTTGGACTGCTGCCCTGCGCTGGCCACATCTCCAGCCTCGCAGTGGCAGGTGTGTGCCTGTGGCTGAAAACGCTGCCTCGGGGCAAACCCTCTGAGCCTGTCCTGTGCGTGGGTCTGGCCTGGGCCTCGCCCCTGGCGCCGCGGCCGCACTGGGCAGGCGGGCTCCCCAGCCAGCGGGCGGGAGGGTGGCGGGGCGGGCGCACCGCGGGCCGGGGCACCGCCTGGGGACCACTTGGCGTCCCCCCGGTCGCTCGGTCACACTTTCTCGGCGCCCTCTGCTGTGGTCCATGTGAGATCCGTGCGGGGTCTCTCGGTCCACGCAGCCGCCCCGCTCCGCAGTGGGCTCTGTCTGGGGTCTAACGCTGTGCACTCGTAGCGAGCGGGTGCGGCCCTTGTGCAAACGGGACCCGGGGGTGCGTGGGAACCGCCGTTTGCGGGCTTCTGCCCCGCATGGCACATGCGTGTGTGGCTGGGCGTTCCGAGCATCCGCCATGAGCCCGCTCAGCATGCTGCCTCCTGGGTAGTAGGCAGCGCGCCGGTCCGAAGTCTGTCCAGGTGACCAAGGTCCCTGCGGCCTGCACTGTGGCAGAGACTGGGAGGGTGGGTGCAGCCCCGGGCCAGGCCGTGGACCACCGCTGCACCCCGCCCACCCTCTGTGCTGCGGGGTGACGAGGGCACCAGCTGGGGCGGTGGCAGTGCAACACATCCCTCGGCTTTGAATACTCAGGAAGGAGACTGCGCTCAGCTGAGCAGGGCCGCCGCGCTCGGCCATGGGGCTGTGCACACCCCACCGCGGCCTGGCCGGCCTGTCCTCGCGGTGAACCGGGTGGATTCGATGGGACCACCCCTCCCCAGCTCAGGCGCGGCCAGGTGGCAGCTGCGCACCCACGGACTCTGCGCG